AATTTTGCCCGAAACTCATTCCGCTGAAAAGCGAAATTAAAAGCAGCATAAAAAAGGTGCGCATGATGTTCAATTAAACACCTAATATAAGCCTTCCTATTTGAAAGTAGAGAAACAGACCCAAAATATCGTTGAGGGTGGTGATGAACGGGCCGGTGGCCAGGGCCGGATCAATGTTGTAGTTGTTGAGCACCAGCGGCACGAAGGTGCCAATGAGGGCTGCGGCAATAATTACCGACAATAAGGCCACGGCTACGGTTAAGGAGAGGGCCATTGAATAACCCAAAAACAAACCCGCCCCAATGATCAGGGCCGCCAAAATTACCCCGTTAATCAGGGCCACGCCCAACTCTTTTAACAAGCGGGTAAAGGTACTGCCCATAAGGGTATGCGTTGCGAGGCCCTGCACGATAATGGCCGATGATTGCACGCCTACGTTGCCGCCCATGGCCGCTATTAGCGGAATGAAAAATGCCATTTGCGGCAGCACGGCCAAGTCGCCTTCGTAGCGGCCAATAACTGAAGCAGCCAGCAGGCCTCCAAACAATCCGATAAGCAACCACGGGAGGCGAGCACGGGTGATGGTAAAAACACTGTCTGCCGCTTCAATTCCATCGGTAAGTCCTGAAGCCAGGTTGTAATCTTCGGCCGCTTCATCGCGAATAAAATCAACCACATCATCAATGGTAATGCGGCCCACCAGTTGGCCCAGGGCGTTTACCACCGGCATTACCACCAAGTCGTATTTCTGCATGCGGTTGGCCACGTCTTCGGCATCTGCCGTGGCCTCTATGCTGGTAACCTTCTGCGAAAAGACCTCAGCAATGGGTGTTTTGGTGCTGGTGGTGAGCAGCTTTTTTAAACTAAGCGTGCCCAAGAGCATATTATTTTCATCTACCACGTAAATGGCGTGTACCTGCTCAATATCTTCGGCTTGTTTGCGCATTTCTTTCACGCATTGCAGCACGCGCCATGACGATTGCACTTTTATGAGCTCGGTGCCCATCAGCGCTCCAGCCGTATTTTCGGGATACACCAACAGGTTGGCCAAATCCTGGGCTTGCTGCTGATCTTCAAGGCTACTGAGCACCTGTTTTTTAACATCGTCAGCCAGCTCGTTAATCAGATCGGCCGCATCGTCAGAATCAAGGTTTTCTACCAGGTCGCGGGCAATTTCTTCGCCCGTATAATCTTCTATTAAGCGGGCGCGAAGGTCCTCATTATTGAGTTCCATGAGCACCTCGGCCTCTACCTCAGCGGGCAGTAATTCCATCAGGTTTTGCGCAGCTTCAAAATCAATTTGGCTAATCACCTCAGCGAGGTCGGCCGGGTGAGAATCTTCGATAAACTCCTTGTGCGGCTCCAGGTTATTCTCGCACAGGTCTTTCTCAAACTGATCTATGAAGTCTTTGTCAAAATCCTGATTGTTCATTATTCAAGCTTTTGGGTGATGTGTATAAAATCGTGAAAGCTCAACTTCTCGGCCCGCAAGTTCAGGAGTGAGTCTTCCACCGCCTCTGCCGGTAAATTTAGGGGTTTAAGGGCATTGCGCAGGGTTTTTCTGCGCTGATTAAAAGCGGTTTTTACCACGGTTTTAAACAGTTTCTCGCTGCAGGGCAATTCATAATTCTCCTTGCGCTTAAAGCGGATGACGCCACTGCGCACCTTGGGTGGAGGGCTAAACTCATGGGCCTCAACGGTAAACAAATACTCGCGCTCATAAAAGGCATCGCATAGTACCGAGAGTATGCCGTAAGTTTTAGAACCCGGACCGGCCACCAGGCGCTCGGCTACCTCCTTTTGAAACATGCCCACCATTTCTGGTATATGCTCCTTATTTTCCAGCATCTTAAATACAATCTGACTGCTGATATTGTAGGGGTAATTGCCCACGAGGGCGAAGGAACCCTTCATTATTTCAAACGGCTCCAGTTTCAGAAAATCGCCCGGAACTATGCGCAAGCCGGGAAAGTGTGTTTCCAAATACACCACCGATTCCCGGTCAATTTCAGCCACGGTAAGTTCATAGTTGTCATTCTGTAAAAACCGGGTAAGCACTCCCATGCCGGGGCCTATTTCCAGCACCTTATCATAGCCTTGGCCCGAAAGCGACCGGGCAATGCGCAGGGCCACATCTTCATTCCGCAAAAAGTGCTGCCCTAAATGTTTTTTAGCGCGTACCATTATAATTTGTGAGTCATGGAGTTAACCTATAATATTAGGGCCCCAGCCCCTAAAGGGCTTACACGCGCGGGAAGTTCTTCGCCTGAGGCAGAGATTACCGCCCGTACGCAGCAGGGGCCGGAATAAATTCAAATTTACTTCAAAATAAGACCTTGAAAGACAACGGCAGTCAATAAGCTGTTTAGCTTTCCACTAATCCCGCTCTTCTCAACAAGGCTTTGGGGTCGGGGTCTTTTCCTCTAAATTCCCGGTAAACTTCTGATGGGTGACGCGTGCCGCCAGCTTCCAACAGCTTGCGAAAGCGGCTGGCTACTTCCTGATTAAACAAGCCCTTTTCTTTAAAAAATTCAAATGCATCGGCATCCAACACCTCGGCCCATTTATAACTGTAATATCCGGCCGAATACCCGCCCTGAAAAATATGCCCGAACTGGCAACTCATATTGGTATCGGCCACGGCCGGCAACAGATTGAAATCTTTAAATACCTCCGTTTCATGCGCCTCAACATCATCTACCATAGCCCCGTTGTGGTAACTCATATCGAGGGTTCCCAGGCTCAGTTGCCGCAAGGTAGCGTTGCCCTCCATAAAGGTTGCACTCTTGCGCAATCGCTGCACCAGCTCAGCCGGAATGGCCTCATTGGTTTTGTAATGACGCGCAAACAGGTCGAGGCATTCTTTTTCGTAGCACCAGTTTTCCATGATTTGAGAGGGTAGCTCTACAAAATCCCAGTACACGTTGGTACCCGACAAGCTGCTATAAGTGCCGTTGGCCATAATGCCGTGTAAGGCATGCCCAAACTCATGAAACAAAGTTAGCACCTCGTTAAAGGTAAGCAGCGAGGGGGCGCTTTTAGAGGGTTTGGTGAAATTGCAGACAATGCTGATGTGCGGACGAAGATTTTCGCCCTGCCGTTTTTGCTGCTGGCGGTAAACGGTCATCCACGCCCCGTTGCGTTTGCCCTTGCGGGGGAAGAAATCGGCATAAAACACCGCCAGGTGCGAGCCGTCTTTGTCTTTCACCTCGTAGGTGATAACATCGGGATGATATTTTTGGATATCCTGGCGCTCCTCAAAGCGAATGCCGTACAGTTTATTGGCCACTTCAAAAGCCCCGTCAATTACGCGGTTTAATTCAAAGTAGGGTTTTAGGGTTTCATCGTCAATTTCAAAACGGGCCTGCTTCAATTTTTCGCTGTAATACGAGGCGTCCCACCGCTGAAGATCTTTCAGGCCATCTCTTTTCTCGGCAAAAGCCTTGAGTTCATCAACATCTCTTTGCGCAGCCGGTAAGGCGGGAGTCTTAATATCTTCTAAAAAGGTCATCACCTTTTGCGGATTTTCGGCCATGCGTTCGGCCAAAATATACTCGGCATGACTTTTAAACCCCAAGAGCTCGGCCCGCTTTTGGCGGAGTTCCACGATGCGCTTTATCACCTCCCGGTTATCGTGGGTTTCACTCTTAAAGGCCTTGCTGCCGTAGGCGCGAAATAGCTTTTCACGCAATGCGCGATTTTTGGCGTAGGTCATAAACGGCAAATAGCTGGGCATTTGCAAGGAGACCAAATACTTGCCTTTCTCCCCGGCCGCTTCGGCCTCTTCTGCTGCGCTTTCGCGGGCACTTTCGGGCAGCCCTTCTACCTCATCCTCCGACAGGATAAGTTGATAAGCGTTGGTTTCAGCCAAAACATTTTCACCAAACTGGAGGCTGCTTTTTCCCAGTTCTTCATCAATATTGCGCAGGGTTTTCTTTTCTTCCTCACTCAAATTTGCCCCGTTGCGGGTGAAACCTTTATAGGTTTTATCGAGCAAACGCATCTGCTCGGTATTGAGTTCCAGCGCTTCGCGCATTTCCCAAACCTGCTTTACGCGATCAAAAAGGCGGGCGTTCAATAATATATCGTTGCCGTAGTTGCTAAGCAATGGCGAAATTTCTCGCGC